ATGTGTGTGTATGTGTGTGTGTGTGTTGGTTCTACCTGGACCTTTAGTGCTGGGACGAAGCTGCGACCGTCTCATTACTACAAACTAACCCCTGGCCTGTCCAGACATCCACTTCCTCTCTCTTTTTGATATCACTACCACATTAATGCTGCTTGATCTGCTGGATGTGGGATGGCAGAGTTGGAGAGTGAAAAATATGTGTTAGAACATTTGAAGAAAAGCATCATCAAGGCGAAATGTAAAAACATTGACACAACAAGAGAATGATCAATTCAGCAAAATGCCAAGTATGTATGTGCATAAATGTATTTTTGAAACTTTGCCCTGATTTGGCTTCTGTAATATTTCAAGGGAGGATAAATAACATCATAGGCATCTTTCAATATTGAAAGAAATATTCATTATTTTATTAAATGAAGCCAGCTTTGGATTGCCTATAATTTGATATAATCATTGAGATATAATGAGAAAGACAGCTGTGTATCAGCAAAACAATGATACTGGATTTCAAAACCGCAGATGATCGGTGGCCTGTACTACGAAGGGAGTTCAACCTATTCAGAGTTAACTCAGGGTTATCAAGCAATCTCAAGGTTGACAAACTCTGACCGTCTACACTGGAGTTAAACAGCACTACGACAGTGAATAAGATGACCCTCTGAAACTCTCCAGAAGGATATCGTGGTAATGCCTTGCATCCTTAACCATGAGATTGTATTCTAGCTGCTTTTTCAAAAAAGCAACTTGTGTAACTCAAGTTTCGTTTTTCTTCCATCCAAGTTGAGCCTGTCTACATTTGTTTCATGCTTTCTGTTATCCAAGGAGCATGATACAGGACTGTAAGAGAACTATTTTTTAAACATGCCACGAAGTTTAAGGCTGATAAACAATTCTCATTAAATCTATTCATCATGCCGCAGGGATGTGCAGAGTTTGTTGTAGGTTTACAGTTGTATTTGCCAAATAATTAAATACAGTAATACTTTTGGCCTTTGGAACCTTGTCACCACCTCAAATTACATTTAAATCAAGTCTCTCCTGGATGTTTGAAAGTTTCTATTAATAAGTCTGTGCACAAGTTTGGCAGTTATTGTTATTCCAATGCTGCCCAAGCTGTCATTTTCTACCTCTAAGACTGGCAGAATAATGTCTGACTCAGAAACAGAAAAAAGGCATAAAGAATGTAGAAATATATGAAGGGTCATATGCAGACCAAATTAATGTCTAGACAGTGAAACAATGTTAGATTGACATTTTAAAACTTAAAGAGTCAGTGTTCATTTTCCCTGTTATACTGTAAATGTAGACTGGTCACTCTCCCCACTTAAAGCCCTAGAGGAAATGTTTTTTGAAACTGTTACGCTTGTGAAGGGCACCAGCGGAAGAGTGGCATTAACCTCATGCTGTAGACAAATACATAAACAAACAGACACACGAAGATAAATAAAATAAAACAACCAACCCACACAGAGACATTGATATTATATTTGCAGTTGACACACTGTAAATTCTGTAAAGTGTCAAAGGTGCATTTATAATCTTTATTTTATTTATGAATGATGAATTTAGCATTCTTTTTACATTTATTCATTTATTTTAATTATGGAGCCTAATGTCACACATCACAAATGTGTGACTCAAGGGGCTTTACAATGTGTACAGAATAAAAAGAAAATGGAAGAAACCTCAGAACGAGCAACAGAGGAAGGATCTCTCTCCCAGGATGGACAGACATGCAATAGATGTGTACAGCATAGACCAACATAGTAAAATTACAGTTTGGACAATCAGAATGACAAAATGAAAGATAGATCGTAAACATATATGAAGTATATGGATCCGGGAGAACGTTGAGCAACTTCAGTTCTCGCCAAACAGACCACATAACCTCATCTCTAGCATGGAGACCTGGAAAGAGGACAGACTATACAAACTCAAGCACACAATTCACACGAATAGAAAAGAAACAAACAGAGAGAGAGAGACAAGAGTAACTCTAAGTAATGATTGTGAGAAATTATAGCTGTTCTGGTGCTGGTGGACAACCTTTTCGATGCGACACAATCTGTGAAATTGCGCTTTCAGGTCTAATGAGTGGTGGATCGTTACGCAAACAGATGTTTAAAGGCATTCCTGTGTCCAACAGTGGTAGTGGAAATGGGCTTGTGTATGTGCCTACAGTTCCACACACAGTCTCATGAAAAGAATGTATATGCATATTTCTGCATACACACAGTTTTAGTCAACAAGTTGGTGAATCTATGCAGATTTTTATGCATCTGACCCTTGGCGTGGTTACAGTGGAGATAAGTTAATAATTAGTAAACTAATGTCCATGGAAGGTAAACGAATACATTGATTAAACCACTGCAAATAAACTAAAATAAAGAATGTTTTCTTTTTTAAATCATGATATTTTTTCAGGGCGATCTATTTTGTTAACAACAAGAAGTAACACTGTCAAAAAGTGAAAATGGTTATCCAGTCACAGGGGAGTCTCTTTCTGACAGTGTTGCAAAGCCTTTGAAATGTTGTCACAGAAACAAGAAGGGCAGAGACAGATTGGTTGCTATCTTAAATTTAGATATTTCACATGCCACTTAAATTATACAACAGTAAGTACAATTTAAAGTACATTGTGTGTGTGAATGTCTCGTCACTTTTTTGAATGTATAGGCTTTGGGTGAGAACTGACAGACAGCTAAAACAAAGACGGGTGAACAGTGGAGTGAAAGTGGTTCTGCATGCTTGACAGCCAACACAGACTTTCTGACAGTTTAGTCATCATTCAGTGTTCAGGCGCAACCATGCACACACATACAGACATAAATTCACACTATTTCCAAGCATGCTAACCTGCTAGCAGAGGCTGTCCAGACTTCGTACTAACTCTAGAAATCAAATGTGACAGCATAATGGGATTTTAGACAGACACAACAGCGGTAAAAGGCAATAAAAAGCTTTAAGGCAACACCTGTACACAAGAAACAACAACATAAAACACACTGCAACAAATAGTCTGATACACACACATTCTGCAAGAAGTAAACATCATGAAAATGTCTCATCAAATTCACTTAAATTTAAAATGCACAAATACTAGACAAAGTTGTTTACAATAAAACACAAACTTCCACAAACAGGAAGTGGATTTAATTGAAATGGGAAGAATCCATCACTGCACACAGAGAATGGACCCCTTCACTTCACCTTCACCTTCACTGGAAGGTTGACCAGAAGTGTGCTCTTATTTACAGCAAATGCTTAGAAAGGTCACTTTTATTTATATAGCATTCATAACAGAAGTTATCTCATTGAACTTTATATAAAGAGAGCAGGTCTAGACCGTACTCTGTAATCTTATTTACAGGGATCAATGATTAGTTTCCCCCCCCCCCAACACTGCCTGGTTGGTCAGCTAATTGTGGTGTATTACCGCGTTGTTGTTGTTTTTAGTTTACAGGCCATTTGCTTCTGCGTCAGGTTTATATTGACCCGTTTATAGCAAATGGTTACACATATATAGATTTGAGGATCCTGGCAGCAATTATGATTGTGTTTAAGAACTAATCCCTTGGAGTGGTGGAGGAAGCTGCGGCAGTGAACGGTGTTGGCATGAGCATATCAGCATAGTCACACTACAAGGGTCACGTTTTAACGGCCGTGTTGCACACCTTTAAGATGACCTCAACAACGCACACAACCTCAATTAATTGTTCAATTAAAGTGTCCCAGTAAGAAAGTAAGATGATAGTGTGATGCAGTCTGCACAATATCAGAACCCTGAAATCAAAGCAGCTAAATGGAAGTCTGCTATCAAGCCAGTACCACATTTTTTGTTTACCAGACTAACAAAAAATAGCATAAAGTCAACAGGTTGTTACATACTTAACGCTACTTTACTGTTTTGGCCTTGTGTGCAATGACAACGAATAGAGAATATGGTGAGTAAAATGTAGAAAAATTGAGTTTCCTGTTCATGAGGATCAACACATTCTACACCCTGTAACAGCACAAATATGTGATAAGCTAAATAACACAAACGGTGCTGCTCAAAACTAAAGCTGTGCATTTGTTGAAAACAAGAACTCCATTGACAATTAAATCTGCTACAATATAGATAGCTGATTTATTGAGTCCATTAGCCAAACATTTAATTCTCACTAATGTTCTATCCATTGGTAGGTTAAAAGGAGTTTTTCTTTTAATACAAATTAATAATTAATCTCTGAATTTTCTCTGACAAAGAAAGACAGAAAGTATGCACTAAAAAGGAAAGCAGCAGCAGCAGCAGAGAATGGAGACAATGCACACTAATTATTTTTTCATGGGATACATGAAAAAACAGGCAGAATTAATCAGCAGTGATGCAGCCATCGCTTCCATCTCTGACACAATGACAGAAAACAGACAGTTAATGAGATGGCAGCCTTTCAGACAAATGTCAATTTCATCAACGACAGTCAGAACATATAAAAGAAAATGGATGTTTGTTTGTACAGATGGTTGAGAGTGAGATGGAGGGAGAGAGCGAGTTACACGCACACAAGAGCTGGTCGCAATTCTCATTTATTTCCACTAAAATGTAAACTCTAATGTAAATTTTCATTATAATTAAGCTTTCATTTTAAAGCTTTTCATTACAGATTGAATGTGACACACACACACACACACACACACACACACACACACACATTCCCTCTATCCCCATGGGGACATCTTATTGACATGATACATTCCCTAGCCCCATACCCTAACCTTAACCATCATAACTACATGCCCAGCCTTAACCCTTAACCTTACCCTAACCTTATTGTGGCCTGAACCCATAAATCAAGTCTTAACCTTCAAAAAGCATCCCTACCTGTGGACAATTTGACCAAAAACTGAGGTCCCCACATTGACACGAGTCCCCACCAAGATATAAATACTGAAACACACACACACACACACACACACACACACACACACACACTCTAGAAAGGCACTGGACTCTTAGGGTCTCTGAAACAGGGTATCCCAAACTTTATTTTATTGGTTTTATCAGAAGTACCATGGAGAGCAGTCACAGTTAGTGGCAACACACATACAACAACTTTCTATCAGTTGGTGTTCAATAAAAATTAATTAAAAAACAAAAGAAAAGTAACACACACGCACACACAGAGGACAGCGGCAAAAAAACATAAACCAAAACATGAACAAGAAAACAAGAGTAAAATTATCTTCATTATTACCAACAATATAACTGTTGCGGTTATTGTTTCATTTTAAAAAACACACCAAATCAAACTGACAAACATGATATTTCCCGACTATAGCCTGTGAGAGCAAAGAGAAGGACAGAGACAGAAAGAAAGAAAGGATGGATAGAGGAAAAAAATATAGAGGTGGAAAAAGATGTGCTGGAGCAAAGGAAGGATTAAGGAAAGAAAGGGATTTAGAAACCACGAAAAATGACAGACGGTTCTGAATCAGACAGATGGTGACTCAAGTACAGACAAATGATCCTTTGAGAGACTAAGACAGATGGAGACATGGAGGCAGATATATTGTACTTAACTATAGATGTGTACAAGCAGGTATGGAAATACTGTTGAGTCAGTGGGATACACCAGACAGACAGACAAAAGTGACACTGTCTGAGTCATAATCAACAGTGAAAAGACTGACAAAAGTCCATCTGAAACGCCCCTCAATAAGAAACTTAAAAGATGACAGGGCGAAAGATGGAAGGAAAAAAAGAGACAAATAATATAAATCAGCCCGGGAACAAGAAAGAGGATGAGTGAGAAAGAGCAAGGCATCAATAGAGAAATAAGCTTTAAGCAAACTACAACTTATCCAAAAAGGCAATATATGTCATTCTTGAGTGTAGTGAGCATTATTGTTTCCTTTAAATAAATATGTAGAGTTTCTCTACGGTTAGTGTGATGATCATACAGTCCACCTCACTTATAACACTGTACAGTATATACACAATATTATTATTATTATTTCTTTAATGACAAAATAACCTTTAGATGTACATCCAGTATTCCTCACCCTCTCTCAGAGAATACAGCCACAGTATTAGAAGTAGCAAGCAGTGTCTTTTTTTGTACAAATAACCCATGCAACTCCTGTATAGTTTATTTATTTAAGATACATAACTCCTTTAAGATCTCATCTCCCATTCAATAACAGCAAATATTGCCTTTTTAACCAAAAAAAAAAATCCCTTAATTAATGAATCAGTAATGTGCAAGTTACTCCAAAACAAAAGACGTTGTCGCCTTTGTTTACATTAAAAACATACTGTTTTTAAGTTCTACATACATTAAAAAAAGTAACTGAACAGAATAAAAGATGAACAGAAAACCTGAATCTGTACAACATTCAAACTATTTTTTGTCAACAACAGGGGAATGGGATACAATTCTCTATATCTATATACAGACATGTTATCATTCATGCACAGTGTCAACAAGTAGCACATTGACATTCCAAAATATGGAAACAGTGGGAGACGTAGGGCAAAAGGGGATTTGGGAAGAAGAGAAGACGGAACAAAAGGATTGCTGCCCATTTGTTTGCTTTTGGCAGCAGAGAGACATAGTAAGAAAGATAGTCAAAGAGGGGGGAAGAGACACAGAGGGACAGATAGACACCATAACAATACACATGCTGGGCAGGAGAAGTCCATTTCAGTCTCACTGACCCAGAAATCAATGTATGGCTGTAACTTCATGTTTTTTTTTCTTTAATGTTCATCATCTTCCTCCTCCTCCTCATCTTCCTTCTCCTCATTCCTCTCTTTATCATCATCCTTTTACATTGTACTTGTTAAATGTTACTTTAAGGTTAGAGAATAGCTCTGGTAATGTTTTTTCCAACAGTACACTAATCGCTGAATCACTAAACGTCTCAGCATGACGTTGCTCAGCTTGAACCAGCAGGGGTGTATGTCCTTCCATTCGTTCCTTCGTTTGTCTGTCTGTCTGTTTGGTGTTGCATTCAGCTATTCCTCAGTCTGTCAGACAGACAGTCAGTTAAGAAGTGAACGAGGCAACGAAAACACGTAATCTATCTTTACATGAGAAGCAACATCGTTAATGGTTCACAACTGATTCAACACCATTGTATTTTTTTCTACATCAGGTACAACATTATTATTGTGTACATCAGAGTCAAAAAAAACCCAAAATCTGTTGTTGTTGTTTACATCAGAAGCAACTTTGTTAACGTTTTCAACAAAACAACATAGTAGCCATTTCACATAAGCAACAAGAACCAGCGCAATGCTTTTTTTTCCATTTAAAACTCTGCCCAATTCTTCAAACCTTACCACAGAAGAATACAAAAATCTACTGTAGTCTACAGCTAATATTTCTACTTCTTGCGTGCTCTTAGTGTTATATTTACAGCGGTGGCCTGGCTAACCTTTGACCCTTCAAACCTCAGAAGTCCAAACCAAGGTAGGAAGCTAAGTTCAAATGCTATTATGATTCATTGCCTGAAAATGTTGCTTTAGAATAGAAACAACTTGGGTACTTACAATCATGGTAGCTAAAGCTAGTCACAGCTAGTTATTAACCGTGTTTAGCTTCCCACCTTGGTCTAAACCCTGTGCGGCTTTGAACAGCTGTCGTAAATCTGCCATTAGCTTCACGTCAGACTAGCTTTGAAGTCAAGGTAGATACACTGAGAGAGGTGGTGCAACAAAGCCGGTGTAACAAAAGAACTAACTTCCCATCAGTGAAATATGTTAGCTTCTTGAAAATTTGTGCAGCAAACTAATTTAATGCGAACAACTACATTACTGCAAGCTTTTCATTCCTGCACAAACTCACTCTGACAAATTAGGCAGCAGGCACATTTTAAGTAAATCCAACATGATTTAGCAATCTGAAAGATAATTTATACCCTGTTGAAGTTACTCAAAAGTAATGCAAACAGCTTCCACAATGTTATTTCTTTTTTGCGCAAGCTAGCAATAACTTTTTACAGTGTATAAACCTTTAGCTCCATGCCAGTGAAGAGACAAACGCATACAAATTTAAATAGAAAGATTCTGGGTAGGTTAAAACAACATCAAGGCATTTTTGTCTCTTTTCAGAGTGTTAATGAAATATGAATAATATTTGGTGTTTTAAGAAAGATTAATTGGTTAGAAAACCCTTTACACGTGGTTGGACTGTAAATATTATGTTTCTGATAGAAAGATTTCCCTTTGGCAAAACAGGGGTAAACTGCCACTCCAAGGCCTTCACAAGAGAACAGCTACTCTAATGGAGCCACACATTGTACAGAGTTTGGCAAGTATAAGTAAAATCTCATTTATATTCCATTTTGGCTGTCAAAGTGTATTTTAAAGTTTATACAAATGTTTTAGTGTTGTTATAGCTGTTCTCAATTTGTACAACATTTATTCTGCAAATAACAAGACTGCATACTACAGAGCATTTAGTTTTAGAGTTGTGAGTTTGGATTTCAGTGTGCAAGCCATGTTGCTGGACCTCTGTGTAGCATCATCTACTTAAATTTTCATTCTGTCTTTCTGGAGCGGTAGTCTATTTCAGGCGCATCATTTGATGAATCAGTAGTATGCCAGATTATAAAACCTTTAAAATTGTACATATCTTATCCTCAAGAGACTGTGGATTTGCCAAACTCTTCCAATCCAGGGTTCTGCTCCGCTCGTACTCTCTCACAGGGGTTGAAAGCTGTCTGTGACAAGATTTTTTGCCAAGTTTTAAATGGATTACATCTATCCCAGACTACTTTACAGATGACATTTAAAATACTACTTATAATCTCAATATCAATATCAAGTAAAAAAACACAACATCAGCAGGAAAATTCTGGCCAATTCAGATGCATATAGTATAGTGCCATTCAACAAACTATGGACTTGCCTACATAAACAATATGTTTTGTGAACGTTGAGATCTCTGCTTTTGGCTGAACGCGTTAACAGTCTGAAGTCTAAACCTCTCCGACAGTCGAGGCTTAGAGATTTATAATCTATGCATATTTCAGGACAGGCTTTTGGGACACTTCATTTAACCAAAAACACACATAGAAATAGTTTCAGGATATATTTCTTGACTATTTATGACTGAATCATAAAAGTAGTGTCTGCTGATGTCAGTTTGTTATTTTTGCAGTTTAATGTGGTTCATTTGACTGCTCTAAAAGTTTTGTATTCTAGTGTAGATGGTGTTCATGCTCCTGAGAAGCAGGCATTGACACGTTTGCTAGCTTGCCCAGCACTTGACAAGGATTCTCAAACAAGCTTGGCTGTTGTTTGAGAACATGCTTAGTAGCTAGTGTCGTTTGTTTTAAGCCACAATTTTCTAGATGGAAACTAATCAAGCCAGATTTTGGTTCAAAGGTCATTTAGAAGAGGACTGTGACAATGTAAGATCCAATGTCTTCAAACCAATAAAATTACGCTAGAGATAACTTAATTGTAGAACCCATGTTGTCTGTATCATAAAGTGAGCGTAGTTACTTAGTCAGTTATACTTTGAGCTTTAACAAGGCTCTCTGTTGTCATGAACGGTTCACTTTTGATTAGGCTAGATCAGCAAGGTAACTTATGTCAAACAGCTACTGAGCATGAACTGGACAAACACAAGCATCACTCCTGCAGGCTCCTAAAATAGACTAAAGTACAACACAAGTAATAAAGAGCACACAGCAACACTTTGCTTTCCATGATTGTTATATCAGGGAGAAAGGAAACATTTACTTAGGTTTTATTACAGGATTTTTGGCATTAAGCTGGAAAAGTTAACCACATCGTTTTCAATAATTAATAACATCTACTGTTGGATAATTGTGCTGGAATTCTTTAATTCCTGTCTCACCCAGATTCACAGTGATGGCTTTAATGTCGCTGTTCTTTGCACTTTACTTCCATTACTGGCACTAGGTGAAAGCATAATGTGACGGTGTAAATATAAACTCTTTTTGCATACCCAATCAGATAATGATTCTAAATAAAGTATATCATCTCATATTAAACATGATGTTTTTGAAGTGTTAATGTTATGGTAATGAACTATGAACTCTACCATAACAGAGCCACTTGGTTTTCAAGACAGGTTATCCAGAATCACCAATGTAACCCAAATACAGCGTGACTAAACTGAACTCACTTTGTCATACAGGTCCCTGAGGGGCAGTTTCTGGGCTGGGTGTTTTCCAACACATATCTTAGCCAATCAAATTTGGTGTGTTAGGATTTAGAAGAAATCTCAGTATCCTAATTTAAAAAAACAAAACAATTGACTCTTAACTTCTGTTTATTAAACAGAGTCTGGCTATCTGAAATTAGATGTATACAGTTTTTACCTGTATCTGTTAGTAAGTCTACTTCTCCACCAACAGCAAATACTTTTGAACCATTCCTTCACCTGATAGGTCTCATGTTAAGACTGCAGACTAGCTGCTGAAGTAAAGTGTCAGTGGTTGATTTCCAATGTCAGCGTGAAGCAGTGAATCACACAGATTACATTATGGTTCTTTATTCAAGCACAAATACTTGCGCTTGAATAAAGAAAAAATATAAAGTCAAATGTTCACTGCTTCCTTTGGGTTAAGGCCTTTATGATCCACATGCTTGAAGAGTAGCATATTTAAGAAGTAATAATTAGTAGAGGTGGCCTGGGAAAGAACTTTACATGGATGGTTTAATTTAGATAAGACTGACCGCAATTCAGTCTTTGTAATCAACTGCAAAAGACACCAAGAAAGGTTGAAACATCATCTGACCGAGCACTTTTGATCATTGTTATGCGTTTATCAATATTTAGTAACTCTGGATACTTGGACTGGCAACGTCTGAACTCAAATGAAATGTAGTCTTGTTTTTTTCTTCTAAAGCCACAGTGAAACAAAATCCTAACAACTGAGCAGTTGGTGTATGTACTTAAATTAAATAGTTAAATAGCCCCCTGAAGACCAATCTATGTGAAGAATTATAAATCAAGGGTCGGGGTTAGGGATTAGTGGTTGTTTCTTACAAAGCCCTTGAGGATTTTGATTGGTCCACTGACCAGCCAGGGGGAGGAGCTTAAGACACACAGGGATAATGACTGAAGCTGTTTAGTCAACCAAAGAGAAAGCAGTATCCAAGTGAAATAAACGACGACAGAGGCGGTTAAGAACCAAAGAGCCTGTGAGGTTTCACAGACGGCGGTACCTACGTTTTTCAAAGTCTATTGTAATGTTACAATTGACTCGTGGTCCTGGCAGTCTCACCGGTGGAAAACCAGGTAACAGTTAAAAAAATAAATACAACAAAAAACAAACACATGTAAGATTAACCTAGATATTTATGTAATGATAATAGTATCTCTAACAGTTTTAAACGGTAGAGTGGCCATTTTGTCCTTTCAGACCTGGCCTTATTAAAGGTAAAAGCACACTAACCCTTTCTTGATTGAAATTAGACCTTAAATCATTTACATCTACAGTATAAAGCAACAGAGAGCGGGCCCAATCAGGAGCGCATGGCGTAACCAAGACATTCAGAAGGAAAATAGCGGAGCTGTAATGTACGTTCAGCTCTCTGTATATACATTTCTAACCTCAGTGATGTTCAAAACATTTTGCTTCATTGAAAGTGCCCTCCCACTAAAGAGTCTTACTCAGGGTTTCTATAGGCTGGGTCAAAAATACCTCAAATACGAAAGCATATTCCATCTCACGCAGCGATAGCAAAGCAAGAGGTGTTTTTTTTCACAGTACTTGACCATCTTCCCACAACACACGAGCACAGAAACACACAGTCACAAACCAGCACACACACAGTTTGTTGTCATTAAACAGTTGTGGCAATATATCCGGTTTCTTCTGATTGTGTTTTTTTCAGTATCGTCTGGCCATGCATCTACATACTGATACCTTTTCTGTTCCGTGCCTTGTACAACAGCTGGATGTGAGAGTAACACTGAAACTGGAGGGGGATTAATGAGATCGCTGTTGTTGAAGCCAAACATCCTCGGAGCTTTGATGGTGCATCTGTCTGTTAACTTTTGGCATCTTGTCTTGTTAAAACTTTATTTCTGTATAGCTGAACCAGCTGGGCCACATTGCGTGTATTTATTTCTTGCGTGTATATATGTGTTTGAGACTTTGGAGGTTAGTTTTATGTTTTTAAAAGGGGGGAGGTTTACTTGATTGGTTTAGATTTATAGATCAAGACAAAAAGTATTCCTTAGTTTATTCCTTTTTCTGCCATTTTTCCATCTTCCGAGCTAATTCTCTAGCTCTTATGATTTTTCTGTTTTTTGTTGTCCTTCCATGCAGCGGTACATCCTTCCATTCTGTTTTTAGACGCTTTAATGCGTGCTCCATTCCTTTATTTGTGCATCCATCCATTCATCTGTTATTTAATCTATTGCGTAAAGTGAGGGAGTGATAGATCAATGAGACAGCCTTCATTTCCAAAAATCCATCCATTTATCCATCTCCCCTTGGTTTCTTCCTCCATGTTTTCCTTCTGTACCACCCTTCCCTTCATCAACTGCTGTGATCTTAGAAGCCCTGGATGTGGCAGTAGGCCTCCAGTGAGGAGAAGAGGATGTAGAGAAGCCACAGGCTGAAGAACAGCATGGTGGTCAGGACCTTCGCAGTCCTGGGCCCTCCCAGCTCACCACCGATCTCTGGCCGCCGTCGGTACATCAGTGTGGCGACGGCAATAAAGGCAAAGATGGTAAAGAGCGTGACAGAAAAGGCCAGCGTGCCCGGATCTACCCTGAACTCCTCCCCCCTGCTATTGTGGTAGATAGCAGCGATGGACCATGCCACCTGTCAAGCATCAACAGAATCAAACTGAATAACATGACATGCAACAGCATTAAAAATGTACTTTAAAGGTGACAGATGGCTGTGATGCACCATGCTATTGGTAAATCACAAACATCTTTGAAATAAAATCCATCTCTATGCAGCATTAACGAATAGCAATCATAAAATAACATCAGTTATTACACACACGATAGTAATTACTACTACAGCAGTGTGACAAGCACCAATGTATTTACACCGGCTATGAATCACTCAGTTAATCTTTAAATGAGCTGAACTCACCCCGATGCCCAGGAAAACATTGACAGCGTTGGAGCCTGTCACATTACCAATGGATGCGTCTGCATACTGATCCTGGATAGCAGCTACCTTACTGGCAAAGGTATCTGGGCAGAGAACGAAAAGGAGGGAGACAGATCAAATTTGAGCATGCTTTGCATTTTTTTGCAACACATGCCACTCAATGGATGCCTTGCTATACTGTACGTATGGTGGGAACCAAATTCTTGCTGTCTTTCTCTGGCAAGATAAGATTAGGTCATCTGCCAGCACACGTCTCTTAATTTGAATATCTAACAGAGAGACATCAGGGATTTTTCTGTGATTTTGTCAGTTCTTCAACATGAAAAGTAGATGGAGTTTAAAAAAAAGTACAGACTATAGATAGATGAGGCCTTGGAAGAGTCACAGTGCATTGCCCTTCATGACAAAATGTGCTATTCAGTGTAAATTGAGTATTGCTGGCTGAATGCTCTACAGTACAAACAGATTTACTCTTACAGTTGATCTCAACCTCAGTCATGTGTGAGTTACAAAAGAACAGCGACAGGACACTCTTGATTAATGCAGAACACTTATAATTATTAATACAGAACATGATGCAAATCCTTTTTTTCACATTTAGACAGGGGACCTTAAATTAGAAACCAAATCTTTAATCCTGTTACAGTGTTCTGTCGCTGGCAGCCAGCACAGGCCAGATTTGGTCCAAGATCAATAATTTACAAGGCTGAATCTCAATTTGCAGGGGCAAACAAATCTTGGCCTGACAACTAATCAGTGTTACGCTGTATAGTCCCAAAATGTTCCCCTGGTTTCATGCTTGCCAAACAGCAGCTCCAAAGGCATGGTCTCCCTTGCAGTACTGAAAGGAGCAGTGGAGACCTTGTCAAATAGGCAACAATAGGCATAAAGACATAGCAAAAAGCCAAATGGTCAGTTAGCACTCCTTTCTCTCGCTAATTTTCTTCTCTTCATTAGTGATTCATGCCCTCTTGCTTATATCTGCCAGATACAATGAGAGGAGATAAAAACAGAAATAGAGAAAAAGAGGAGGAAGGGCTTTCTTGAAGTGGTAGTGGAACTGGCAGAGGAAAAATAGGTAATGGGAGGACCGGAAGGGGATTGATGGGGGGAGAGGCTGTTAGTGGGAGAGTGGGAGAGGCAATGGGCCAAAAAAGAGTCCAGCAAAGATAAATCTCCCCATACACCTTAAGGCTTCAAGGACAGGACTGCTGAGCTTAAGTGTGTTTGTGTGTGTTTGTGTATCAAGGCTCTATTTCTGTCTGCCTGCATGTGTGTGTGCTTTCTGTGTACAGTGCATGCATGTAAACTGTGTGTGTGTTAGTGAATGTCGCCACCTGGGTCCAATCTGATGCCATGCCTCCACCAGCTGGTAAAGGGCGTATGTGTATACCGTTCAAGTGGTCTTTAAGTGCTTGTGTGCCTGATTGAGTGGGTGAGTGCGTAGGTGCCTGCATGTTCGGTAGCGGCGTGTGTTTGTTTGCATGTGGAACAGGTTGCACTCTGCAGCTCCCTCTATGAGAGATTTCCTCCCTGGAGAGTTTTCTGCCCTTTTCTTCTGCCTCTCTGTCAATCAACCAGTCTCTCTCTCTGTCTTTCTACCTCATCCACCCCCTCTACATCCTCTCTCTCCACCTCTCCTCTCTCTCTCTTCTGCTCCATTTTTTACCTCCTGCCTGTCAAAAAGGGGTTCACTGATTTGCTCAATGGAGTCTGGCAATATTCCTGCATGTGGACATTTTTACCTGGTGGTGGCGATAGAGGGAAGCTCAGGGGAGTCAAGATCAAATAACATTACAATTCATCGTCATGGGACTATGAATATTGACCCTTGGATCTTGGAAATTGTTGATCGGGGGGAAACATGAGCAGATGGGGATGCAGGGGGTTACAAAAATTGTTACAAATCAACTTCTTGGGACACTGAATATTCAAAACAAATCGAATGGCAGTTGAGCAGAACTTTAAAAATATCTTGCTCTTGATGAAAGTGCTGGACAACTGACATGGCTCTTAATGGCTTTGTAAGTTGGTGAAGAGAAATGCCCATCAAGAGATTGATGGATTTTGACTGAGGGGGTTTGATCAATTGTGAGAACATGGTCTTCCAAATCCAAAAATGAAATGATTGGCTAATATTCTCTAAATGATTCTATTTGGGTCTGCAACTAATCATTATTTTGATTACTGATCCATCAGTCCATGAAATGAAAGGAAAGAATGTCACAATGTCCCAAACCCTAGGTAGACAACTGGTTAAATTACTAATCATTTCATAATAATTATCTTATTCAGTTAGCTTAATTCCCTCCCTGTTAAGTCAAGTAGACACTATGATTAGTTTGTATGATCATTGGCTGATGTAGTCAGAGTCTCCTTATGTCTCTTTCACCCCTGTTCTCTTCAACCTTCAGAGAGCAGTCTGCTACACAAAAAAAAAAAGAGTTGAGATTTTTAATAACATTTTTGGTTTACTCCAATTCTCTGTGGATCAGCTGAAAGGTTTTGTGCCTGGATGACTGGAAAAATCAAGCAATTTACATTTTTGTCTTCCTAAGACTTTAATGCCACTTTGTCATTAATGATCTTAATGCCCCAGAGATTTAGGGGCAATTTTGCCTCAACACATTTTGAAAAGGTCAAATATGCTTTTATGTAATGTCATTGCTGAAGTTTGCTTCTGTTTCTGCCTTAGTCAGTCGTTTTAGTCTTAGTTTGACTTGAAATATCATATTGATAACACATTGTAATAATAAATGCTCTATAGATGCTTTATTGCTGATGTAACATTTACACAGTACTTTATCTTCCCTATGTAACTATTATCCCCCCCATTCCCATTGAGTCTCACCGTGCATTTTTCTCAGTTTAGATGTATTTCCTGGCCTTCTGAGGCCAGCATGAAATGACACACAGTATACTTTAAATATACTGGTATGTCATGAATTGATAAGGCTCAGAGGTTTTACCAGAATCCCGAACCAACAACACATTTTAGTTTCTTGAGCTTCTACTTCTCTAACAGCCCATTCTTGTTGTTTTCTTCCTATCTCCTCTACGTTTGTGTGTGTGGGTGGGTGTGTGTTAGCCTGGCTAACTGTGATAAACGAGGTTAATCATCATGGAACCACAGCACTAGGGGTGAGTTTTATTAACTGTTATAGCCACAGAACTTGCAGTCTGTTTCTTTGTGAATGTGTGTGCGTGTGTGTGCGTGTGTGTGCGGGCCACGGGAGGTTCTGTTAATAAGGCTGAGAGCCTCAGAAAGGCTGAACCACTTTGTTTCCATTTTGCAGCTCTACACGATGTGTGTATGTGTGTGCATTTCTCAGTTTCAAGCAGCTGTGTGTGAATGTGTTTCTCCATAAAAACTTGCAAAAACTGTTAGCGAACAGTTAGTGTATTTCTTTTCATGTGTGTTATCAAATAATACAATTTCTATATGTGTACATTTATGTTTGTGTGTATGTGTGTCAGTATGTATGTATACATCTGTATGTAATCCATCATCTTATCCCTGGGATCCCTAAATGCAAAACCTATTTCAAGCTTTAATATGTTATTTATGTGTCTATTTGTTACATATCCAGCATTCAGGCATGTGCTGTATGACGGAATGTATGTTCTCTGTGTGTGTGTGTGTGTGTGTGTAGAAGCAAAAGACCGAGGCAAAGGTTAAAACAAATTTAGCCAGCCGTGGCAGTCGTTGGTCATTCTTCACATTTAGAGGTTGATCCATGCTGCTGTCTGCAGACTGTACTGTTTCCCCTAACTGGCTCATAAAGATACACTGGAGAGACTGAAGGAACTACTGGGTCAGTCATGGTAAAAGGTCCCTCGGCATGACAGCAGGGAAAAACATGAGGTGTGCATACTTTTACCATGTTTTTCTCTGGGTCTTTAACCACTGCACATACTGGAAAATGATGGTCACAGCACAATCATTTTTGATTGCTGCCATGCAGAAAACCTCTTAAAATGTAGTCAAAAGCAAGTGTGTATTAATTAAGTGTATTAAATCATCCAAAAATATTTTTGTCAACCAAAACCTTGGTGTCTGGATTAGCAAGGGCAGTTTCAAAAACATGTTATTTCTCTTCTTCGGTGAAACATATACATGTTTAAATTTCTCAAGTTAGCTACTTTTTAAAAGTTTGTATTGTGCTAAATCATCTTCCTACACAGATTATATTCTTTTCAGTTTTCTATCATATTCCAGAGCTGTAATGCATTTCTGCCACTTTTTCTGCAGGTGCAACAATATTCCATTGCCTATTTTAACTCCTGTTGATTTTTTTTTATGTGATTGTTGTTAGAGCACTAATTTTAATGAGGTCTTTATAACACAGTCATAAATGCAGAGAAACACTGTAAAGTTGTCTCCTTTATATTCCGTATACACACTTAAAGGAACGACATGGGGGGAATAAAGCTTCTAGTAATAAAAACTGAAGCAAGGAATTGAAAATGTCATGGAATACTTCAGGATTTCAGGGTGTTTAAACCTCATAAAGGCCTTTTGAAGCTAAATGTCAAGTGTGGAGAGAGAAAGGTCTTTGATTAAAGCTGGCAGAAAGTCCAATAGCAGGATTTATAAGATAACAGCGGCAGTGTTGGATCAACATTGGAGCAAACTTCCAGCATATGTATATGATCATATACATACAAATACACACGCTCACCTGGTACAGATGTTCCCAATGCAACAAATACTACTGCTGTGACTGAGTCTTTCAGGCCCACTGTGCAGCCAAAATGAGAGGCCAGGTCACCTGTAATAATAAAGGAATATCCTTATCACCACTATACTTAATACTACTTCTATTACAACATACATTCTAAAAAAAAATTCTAAATATTCTTTACATAGGCCTACAGATACCAGTCACATATTACCTTATGAATATAAAAATAAACCCATTTGAACATTTTATCTGTCACTCACCATACTGTAAATCATTAAACAGGTTATCATGGACATTTCATTCCCAAATATATACACTTTAAAAAGTGTTTGCAAATATATATTCATGTTAGAATTTCTACTTGGTCCAGTCAGCTGTCATCATACCAATGACGCCAGTGAGCAGTCCAATCATACAGATGGAGACGACGAAGCAGGCCCAGCCGTTCCAGTAATCTGTGGGTGGGACGAAAGCAAACAGAACCTTCCAGAAGACGGTGAGGAAGTGCATGACGTAGTCGAAACATGATGGCAGCTTCTCCTCCCCGCACTCGTCATCGTCATCATCTTCGCCTGGTGAAAAAGAGGGAAGAGAAAAAGAGGTTAAAGAGGAGCACATGACCAGGTTTAAATCCTTCAAATTTCTAATCTGCAAAGGAGTTCTTGAGCAAAATACTGATTATTTACAGGCATGAAAAAAGTTCCTTTTGACTTCACCGGCCTTCTCCTTCCCATGGATAAACCAGTTTACAGAATAATTCTGTCTATAGTAAATGGCAAAAAAGTGAGGTACAGTTGCAGCACTTTTCTGACTGAGTTATAGTGCTGCATGTTAATGAAGAAATACTGATCCCAGCAGAAAGTCATCAAATCCAGTCTCTTCAGACCAGTTGGAGACATGATTATATCAAATGTGTAATATTTTTGACTAGATTCTGGACACATGTTTAAATTGGTGAACCATAATAATCTGAACTCAAATGAATGCACTCTACAACGATCACTCATTAAATAAATTTAATTTGCAGTATTTCCACAATGGAATTGTGAAAAAATGTTTACATGTAATTTACGTAAACATTAGGTGACCAAACTAAATGTTTGCTGGGTAAAATATCAGCTTTTAGATTCATATACAAATACTTTTACAGGTTGGTATAATGATAGACAGAAAACATGAGAGGATATTGTCTAGGGTGTACCCCTCCGCAGGATAAGAGGTTGACGATGGATGGTTTTTGCCAATCTGTTAGCTTAGCTCCCACAGATACCCCCAATAATCTTAAGCATAGTATCAGACTTTCATACTAAAAGCTGATGTTGGACACATTTTGTCTTTCTTTTTTGTTGTTTATCTGACTTAGCCCTGCTGGGGGGAAAAACAGCTGATATTATCTGTCCGTGACTGACCAAAGACACCTCTCTCCTTCATTCCAGCAGACAGAAAGATTATAAGCATAAGTCTATAGTGACAGAAATTTAGACAGTGCAACCCATTATTGTATCAGATATATATAAAACAACAGACTCAATTTGACAGACATCATTTCTCATTGACTTGCAGGTTTGTGTGATGTCAGTCTCAAAGTCCAGTCATTGCCTCAGGACATGGACTATAGTCAACCACGTACTGTTAGGCTTTGCTGTGCTCCTCTGTGTAGTTGGCTGTTGTTCTGCTCCATTTATAAATGAGTCTAATGAATGAATAAACGAGACTACCTGCTGGCTGGTTAAATCCCAGTGAAAGGCATGATCTCCTATTGATTTCACCCGGGTCATTCACTCGCTGCACGCTATTAACCTTCTAAGAGCTAGTGATGCATTCAAATGCTCGAAAAAAATGAAAGAAACACTGTCTGCACCCTAAACTTCCCCTATCCTTCTACTACAGCAACTGTTTTCACTGCTCAAATGTAAAATGGTCTATCTTTATAAGATCATTTTATTTATTTAGTTTTTACTGACATATCTCATGCAAAGTAATACATCAAAGTGTTGCATAAACACTTGATTTTGAGAGTCCAGTGAGAAGAGTTTGTGCTTGTTTCTTGTATTATTTACAGTTTTTCCCCCCGAAGATGGTTTTTGGGCTTTTCTGTCTGAAAAGAAATGCTACACCTACATAGTTTTTTAAGTAATTTGGCAACAATTATTATCTAAATATTACTCCCTGTAAAAACAGCAGGCAGCAATTTTAATTGTTTGGATGTAGGTCCTAAATAGGATTTTGATTTTGATTTTCAATAAATAAATATGTAAACCAGAGCTTCAGAAAAAGACAAACTGAAAACAAGCACCCTTTTACTTCAGTGATGGATAAATTACCTTCTTCTGAAATATGTCATTTGATTCTGAATGCATGAATGCATCAGCCTTGGCAAAACTGTCATAACAGATAATAAAACAGTAAATCGTCTGCAAAAAAGCCCACACAACATTTGAATTGTCCTTAGCTTGACTTCTCAAAACAAGACAGGCAGTTTCCAGAAATGTATCACGGCTGTTTTCACTTTGACTGCTGACCTTCTGTTGTAAGTATAAAGTTACAAGACAGCCTGATATTTAAGTCATTAACCACAAGTCATGAACCAGATCCAGGCTGTGTGTTTTGCCATTACTAAATATTAACATGGCTTAACACAAAGAGTAATGCACTCTCATCAGGCTAATAGTTTCCTCTGGGGTCACGTACCTTGTTTAATCTTATTAAAAATAAATGCTTCTTTTTCAGAGTGAGCACTTGGAGTAAATCTAATCATCAACTATAAATGAACAGTAGAAGGTCAGTGTGGAGAGAAATGGCCTCATCCACTATTATGATTTGGAACACACACACACACACACACACACACACACACACACACACACACACACACCACACACACACACACACACACACACACACACACACACACACACACACACACACACACACACACAGGCAATGACTCTACCTGAGTTATGTCACTTTTTACTTTCAGCAGCTCTCCTTCCCTCCTACTCAGTCTGTTATGGCTGACTGGAGCCATTTGTCTGCTAATGTTTATATGTGAACTTTTATTGCACTCTTGGTCTCTCTATTTGGTCTCTTTCTTTTAGTTTTCCTTGTTCCTGTATGTGTGGCCGTTAATTACGCGGGGGCCCCGAAAGCATCCGTTGGGACTGGCCACATTGGGAGAATAGTAATGTTGTCCAATGACGATAGAGGATCGGAAAAGGTGTCAACGCAGTGGGCTTCAACTGTGAGCTAAACCTGTGTCCACTCCCATATTCAACTTCTGCTGTCATCTCACTGGGTGAGAGTGATGCCCCACCAAGCATCACTGACCATTTGACATTCAGCTGTAGCTCTGTAGCTATATGCTAACTTTCAAAGTGAGGCCATAGCAAGTTAACCAATCAACCTGGCTCCAACAGATTTGCGTTTTCATACTAATAATTTGTTTCGCCACTTACCTCTTGATTAGAAATTTAACTGCTATCTGGATTGTGGTTGCTGGCAATGCTTTTTCAAGACTAGCAGGTGCCACATTTATATATTGATCACTGTTTGTAGGAAGGTGGATGGTATGCACAGGACTTGCATCCTCAGTCCCATGTGTGGTTAGGCAAAAAAAGCACTTGGTAAAGTTCAGTGACAGACCTTGGTTTGGGTTAAATTATGTAATTAATAACAAGTGACTGTTGACTTTTCTGATACCCCACGTGGGTCCTGGCGATGCAGGATGACAATTGCCAAAGCTGTCCAATCAACAAGTTACCTGGAAGACCTGGTTATTTCCTTTGTAAAACTGCAGTGTGATCATTTTTTCACTTGGACCAAATGAACCGAACTACAGGTGTGAAAGCACCCTAACAACCACTCACACTCACATGTGTTTGAACTGAAGACCTTCTTGCTGTGAGGTGACGGTGCTAACCACTGCACCACCGTGCCGCTCACATTTTACAACATTATGTTGTAATTTCTTGGAGACGGGGGTGGGTATAACACATTAAACAACCAGATCCTAAAAAATTGGTATGTTTAAAATCAAGTGTAAAAACACCATAGGTAGAAGCTGTATTGACTTGGAGTCAACACCAACACTAGTCCGCACGTGTGTTTCAACCTAATAATATATGGTGATATGGTAATCATCTTTGCACAGTTTGTAGGCTTTATACACATATATTCATGTATATATTCATGCTTCAACCCCAATCTCTCTCACACTCTCTCTGTCTCTCTTATATGGCTGATATTGCTATGGTCCTTCATCCCTTCTTACCCATCTGCCTTTATTTCTTTCTTTGCCTGACTGCATACTCTTCTCTCCTCGTCTCTCTATTTCCATGCTCAGTTAGGCGTTATACTGATAAAGTGGTTCTCCAAAAAAATTTCTGTCTTTCTCACTCCCTCTCCGTCTTACGCATTCTTTTCATCCTTGGTCACACTTTGCTGATATAGCCTTTATATAATTGAATATTCCCTGTCACTCTCTTGCTTCATCCCTATAAATCTTCCTCATCTCTCTACAACCTTCTGTCCCTCTCTAAATGCCATTGACAATCTTCTCACTGTATTGTGTGTGTGTATGTGTGTGTGTGTGTGTGTGTGAGAATGTTATTTATTCTGGGCCCAGTCAAAAAAGTAAAAGGACGGATGAAACAAAGTCCCAAGCAACAATAGATGAAACAAAATTACATCTATATGAGTTTTTCATTGGTTAGCATCTCATGCTAATCTGGCAGCTGCTCACTCAGGTTTTTCTATTGAGACACACTAACGTGCTAATGCATCTGACATCAAGAAATACTTAACACACATGCACACCCATATCAGTACACTCTCTCTTGCCCCCCAGAGGTGTTGTGTGATGTGTTTCATCTCTTGCTGCTCACTGAGTGTTCTCATAGGCCAGGCATATCACGTCAGGCTTCATACAGCTAGCCACTGGGGTTGTGTGAAAACATAAATAAACACACATAGACACAGTGAGATCAATAGAAAAGACACACTCTTTTGTGTCACACACACACACACACACACACACACAGAATACGTACATACTCTGAATCTGAAATTGAGGCAAGAACATCACAAACCCCGTGCACTGTGGGGAATATCACACAAGACAAAGAAAGACAGCCTGTCATTCATCCATACATCTTCAAACGTAGCCACAGTTTGTGCCTCTCGTTAGTGTTTTTTTGACACAGATGATAACATTTGAGTCACAAAAAAAGCTGCTAAAGTTTAAATTTTTTTAAAAAAAAGTCACATTTTGAGAACACAGCAGATTTTTTAACCTCCCTGCAATTATGAAGACATGTGCGTTGAATGTGAATTTTAACCAATTTCTTTAGATGTCTCTACATTCCTTAACCAAACCATCATACTTCAACATACGTCACTGTCTTTAACACTACTATGACTACTATTATGAATATCACTTGTCTAACTGATTGTGTGTGTGTACATCTGTCAGAACTCATGTTCCACTGGTCCTCCTATCTGTCTTGGACACACACTGAAATACACGACACACACCACAGCATGAAATAAAATCAATAATATAACTATATTATTA